ACATGTCCCAAGACCAGCTGCAGGAAGGTGCTCGCTGAGAACATGTCCCAAGACCAGCTGCAGGAAGGTGCTCGCTGAGAACATGTCCCAAGACCAGCTGCAGGAAGGTGCTCGCTGAGAACATGTCCCAAGACCAGCTGCAGGAAGGTGCTCGCTGAGAACATGTCCCAAGACCAGCTGCAGGAAGGTGCTCGCTGAGAACATGTCCCAAGACCAGCTGCAGGAAGGTGCTCGCTGAGAACATGTCCCAAGACCAGCTGCAGGAAGGTGCTCGCTGAGAACATGTCCCAAGACCAGCTGCAGGAAGGTGCTCGCTGAGAACATGTCCCAAGACCAGCTGCAGGAAGGTGCTCGCTGAGAACATGTCCCAAGACCAGCTGCAGGAAGGTGCTCGCTGAGAACATGTCCCAAGACCAGCTGCAGGAAGGTGCTCGCTGAGAACATGTCCCAAGACCAGCTGCAGGAAGGTGCTCGCTGAGAACATGTCCCAAGACCAGCTGCAGGAAGGTGCTCGCTGAGAACATGTCCCAAGACCAGCTGCAGGAAGGTGCTCGCTGAGAACATGTCCCAAGACCAGCTGCAGGAAGGTGCTCGCTGAGAACATGTCCCAAGACCAGCTGCAGGAAGGTGCTCGCTGAGAACATGTCCCAAGACCAGCTGCAGGAAGGTGCTCGCTGAGAACATGTCCCAAGACCAGCTGCAGGAAGGTGCTCGCTGAGAACATGTCCCAAGACCAGCTGCAGGAAGGTGCTCGCTGAGAACATGTCCCAAGACCAGCTGCAGGAAGGTGCTCGCTGAGAACATGTCCCAAGACCAGCTGCAGGAAGGTGCTCGCTGAGAACATGTCCCAAGACCAGCTGCAGGAAGGTGCTCGCTGAGAACATGTCCCAAGACCAGCTGCAGGAAGGTGCTCGCTGAGAACATGTCCCAAGACCAGCTGCAGGAAGGTGCTCGCTGAGAACATGTCCCAAGACCAGCTGCAGGAAGGTGCTCGCTGAGAACATGTCCCAAGACCAGCTGCAGGAAGGTGCTCGCTGAGAACATGTCCCAAGACCAGCTGCAGGAAGGTGCTCGCTGAGAACATGTCCCAAGACCAGCTGCAGGAAGGTGCTCGCTGAGAACATGTCCCAAGACCAGCTGCAGGAAGGTGCTCGCTGAGAACATGTCCCAAGACCAGCTGCAGGAAGGTGCTCGCTGAGAACATGTCCCAAGACCAGCTGCAGGAAGGTGCTCGCTGAGAACATGTCCCAAGACCAGCTGCAGGAAGGTGCTCGCTGAGAACATGTCCCAAGACCAGCTGCAGGAAGGTGCTCGCTGAGAACATGTCCCAAGACCAGCTGCAGGAAGGTGCTCGCTGAGAACATGTCCCAAGACCAGCTGCAGGAAGGTGCTCGCTGAGAACATGTCCCAAGACCAGCTGCAGGAAGGTGCTCGCTGAGAACATGTCCCAAGACCAGCTGCAGGAAGGTGCTCGCTGAGAACATGTCCCAAGACCAGCTGCAGGAAGGTGCTCGCTGAGAACATGTCCCAAGACCAGCTGCAGGAAGGTGCTCGCTGAGAACATGTCCCAAGACCAGCTGCAGGAAGGTGCTCGCTGAGAACATGTCCCAAGACCAGCTGCAGGAAGGTGCTCGCTGAGAACATGTCCCAAGACCAGCTGCAGGAAGGTGCTCGCTGAGAACATGTCCCAAGACCAGCTGCAGGAAGGTGCTCGCTGAGAACATGTCCCAAGACCAGCTGCAGGAAGGTGCTCGCTGAGAACATGTCCCAAGACCAGCTGCAGGAAGGTGCTCGCTGAGAACATGTCCCAAGACCAGCTGCAGGAAGGTGCTCGCTGAGAACATGTCCCAAGACCAGCTGCAGGAAGGTGCTCGCTGAGAACATGTCCCAAGACCAGCTGCAGGAAGGTGCTCGCTGAGAACATGTCCCAAGACCAGCTGCAGGAAGGTGCTCGCTGAGAACATGTCCCAAGACCAGCTGCAGGAAGGTGCTCGCTGAGAACATGTCCCAAGACCAGCTGCAGGAAGGTGCTCGCTGAGAACATGTCCCAAGACCAGCTGCAGGAAGGTGCTCGCTGAGAACATGTCCCAAGACCAGCTGCAGGAAGGTGCTCGCTGAGAACATGTCCCAAGACCAGCTGCAGGAAGGTGCTCGCTGAGAACATGTCCCAAGACCAGCTGCAGGAAGGTGCTCGCTGAGAACATGTCCCAAGACCAGCTGCAGGAAGGTGCTCGCTGAGAACATGTCCCAAGACCAGCTGCAGGAAGGTGCTCGCTGAGAACATGTCCCAAGACCAGCTGCAGGAAGGTGCTCGCTGAGAACATGTCCCAAGACCAGCTGCAGGAAGGTGCTCGCTGAGAACATGTCCCAAGACCAGCTGCAGGAAGGTGCTCGCTGAGAACATGTCCCAAGACCAGCTGCAGGAAGGTGCTCGCTGAGAACATGTCCCAAGACCAGCTGCAGGAAGGTGCTCGCTGAGAACATGTCCCAAGACCAGCTGCAGGAAGGTGCTCGCTGAGAACATGTCCCAAGACCAGCTGCAGGAAGGTGCTCGCTGAGAACATGTCCCAAGACCAGCTGCAGGAAGGTGCTCGCTGAGAACATGTCCCAAGACCAGCTGCAGGAAGGTGCTCGCTGAGAACATGTCCCAAGACCAGCTGCAGGAAGGTGCTCGCTGAGAACATGTCCCAAGACCAGCTGCAGGAAGGTGCTCGCTGAGAACATGTCCCAAGACCAGCTGCAGGAAGGTGCTCGCTGAGAACATGTCCCAAGACCAGCTGCAGGAAGGTGCTCGCTGAGAACATGTCCCAAGACCAGCTGCAGGAAGGTGCTCGCTGAGAACATGTCCCAAGACCAGCTGCAGGAAGGTGCTCGCTGAGAACATGTCCCAAGACCAGCTGCAGGAAGGTGCTCGCTGAGAACATGTCCCAAGACCAGCTGCAGGAAGGTGCTCGCTGAGAACATGTCCCAAGACCAGCTGCAGGAAGGTGCTCGCTGAGAACATGTCCCAAGACCAGCTGCAGGAAGGTGCTCGCTGAGAACATGTCCCAAGACCAGCTGCAGGAAGGTGCTCGCTGAGAACATGTCCCAAGACCAGCTGCAGGAAGGTGCTCGCTGAGAACATGTCCCAAGACCAGCTGCAGGAAGGTGCTCGCTGAGAACATGTCCCAAGACCAGCTGCAGGAAGGTGCTCGCTGAGAACATGTCCCAAGACCAGCTGCAGGAAGGTGCTCGCTGAGAACATGTCCCAAGACCAGCTGCAGGAAGGTGCTCGCTGAGAACATGTCCCAAGACCAGCTGCAGGAAGGTGCTCGCTGAGAACATGTCCCAAGACCAGCTGCAGGAAGGTGCTCGCTGAGAACATGTCCCAAGACCAGCTGCAGGAAGGTGCTCGCTGAGAACATGTCCCAAGACCAGCTGCAGGAAGGTGCTCGCTGAGAACATGTCCCAAGACCAGCTGCAGGAAGGTGCTCGCTGAGAACATGTCCCAAGACCAGCTGCAGGAAGGTGCTCGCTGAGAACATGTCCCAAGACCAGCTGCAGGAAGGTGCTCGCTGAGAACATGTCCCAAGACCAGCTGCAGGAAGGTGCTCGCTGAGAACATGTCCCAAGACCAGCTGCAGGAAGGTGCTCGCTGAGAACATGTCCCAAGACCAGCTGCAGGAAGGTGCTCGCTGAGAACATGTCCCAAGACCAGCTGCAGGAAGGTGCTCGCTGAGAACATGTCCCAAGACCAGCTGCAGGAAGGTGCTCGCTGAGAACATGTCCCAAGACCAGCTGCAGGAAGGTGCTCGCTGAGAACATGTCCCAAGACCAGCTGCAGGAAGGTGCTCGCTGAGAACATGTCCCAAGACCAGCTGCAGGAAGGTGCTCGCTGAGAACATGTCCCAAGACCAGCTGCAGGAAGGTGCTCGCTGAGAACATGTCCCAAGACCAGCTGCAGGAAGGTGCTCGCTGAGAACATGTCCCAAGACCAGCTGCAGGAAGGTGCTCGCTGAGAACATGTCCCAAGACCAGCTGCAGGAAGGTGCTCGCTGAGAACATGTCCCAAGACCAGCTGCAGGAAGGTGCTCGCTGAGAACATGTCCCAAGACCAGCTGCAGGAAGGTGCTCGCTGAGAACATGTCCCAAGACCAGCTGCAGGAAGGTGCTCGCTGAGAACATGTCCCAAGACCAGCTGCAGGAAGGTGCTCGCTGAGAACATGTCCCAAGACCAGCTGCAGGAAGGTGCTCGCTGAGAACATGTCCCAAGACCAGCTGCAGGAAGGTGCTCGCTGAGAACATGTCCCAAGACCAGCTGCAGGAAGGTGCTCGCTGAGAACATGTCCCAAGACCAGCTGCAGGAAGGTGCTCGCTGAGAACATGTCCCAAGACCAGCTGCAGGAAGGTGCTCGCTGAGAACATGTCCCAAGACCAGCTGCAGGAAGGTGCTCGCTGAGAACATGTCCCAAGACCAGCTGCAGGAAGGTGCTCGCTGAGAACATGTCCCAAGACCAGCTGCAGGAAGGTGCTCGCTGAGAACATGTCCCAAGACCAGCTGCAGGAAGGTGCTCGCTGAGAACATGTCCCAAGACCAGCTGCAGGAAGGTGCTCGCTGAGAACATGTCCCAAGACCAGCTGCAGGAAGGTGCTCGCTGAGAACATGTCCCAAGACCAGCTGCAGGAAGGTGCTCGCTGAGAACATGTCCCAAGACCAGCTGCAGGAAGGTGCTCGCTGAGAACATGTCCCAAGACCAGCTGCAGGAAGGTGCTCGCTGAGAACATGTCCCAAGACCAGCTGCAGGAAGGTGCTCGCTGAGAACATGTCCCAAGACCAGCTGCAGGAAGGTGCTCGCTGAGAACATGTCCCAAGACCAGCTGCAGGAAGGTGCTCGCTGAGAACATGTCCCAAGACCATGAAGGTGTTCATTGTGTGCAATGGTCATGCTGTCCTCTCACACCTCCCTCCGTCCCAACCCCCTCCTCCTCCCCATCACATGTCCCCCTCCATACCCCACCAGCTACGGCCGGCACCAGATGCTGCGCTGCCTGGCTCTTGCCATGCGACCTCTGCCCCAAGGGCAGCAGACCATCACTCCTGACGACGAAACCGACCTCACGTTCCTTGGCCTGGTAACCACCCAGTGGTAACTGTTGTTAGTTAGTTCACGCAATGGGCTATCTGCAGTGAAGTGTGGTAACATGTGGGACCTCGGGGACATCAGACCATCACTTCTGAGGATGAAACCATATTCACCTTCCTCAGCCTGGCAGTGGTAACCACCCAGTGGTATCACTTATGTGGAGGTGCACGTAATAGGGTAACCATTTTGCGCAGTATGGTAACAGCATGTGTGCCCTCAGGGGCAGCAGACCATCACTCTTCTAGAGGATGAAACCGACCTCACCTTGCTCGAAGTGGTAACCACCCAGTGGTAACAATTGCCGTAACGTCATGTATGAATGGGAGTGCAGGGGCTGCAGCAGATGATCACCCCCTCTGGAAATGAAGCAAACCTCTCATTTTTGGACAGTCAGCAATCTTCCTGATCCTTTTTGGGGGAAGGGGTAGCTCCTATCTACCACTACTGATTTGCCACCTCACCACCATTGCTTGCCTCTGGACAGTTATGAAGGTTGGTCCATGGCCTCTGTTTCTCACCAGACCCACTTTCCTTCTCTCCCGATCTCATGAGACATGGCATGGCATGGCATGGCATGGCATGGCATGGCGTGGCATGGCATGGCATGGCGTGGCATGGCATTGCATGACATCGAATTGCATGGCATGGCATGTGAGTCAGGTGGGAATGCTGGACCCACCTCGGGAGGAGGTGAGAGCAGCTGTGGAGACATGCCGGTCGGCTGGCATTCGCATCATTGTTGTTACAGGCGACAACAAGGTACGGTCAAAACTAGTTGTTCCATTACCCACAAGCCAAACTGCCATGTGGTAAGACAGTTAGGCCCCTGACTTATCCAGGCATTTTTCAGAACACCCATATTTATTTGAACCACCTCATTCCCTCTCTCACTCCCCTACTCACTCGCTCCTCCTCTCACTCCCTCTTCCTACCTCGAATCCAGGCCACAGCAGAGTCGGTGTGTCGCCGCATAGGTCTGCTCAGCCCGCTCTCAGCTGACGCCCTCATCACCATCGACCCCTCCTCTCCCACCTCTCCTCTGCTCAAAGAGAGCATCAAAGCTTGAATTTTCCCCTCTTCCCTCTCACTCCCCCTCTCACACCCCCCTCTCCACGCCCATGCAGGCCACAGCAGAGTCGGTGTGTCGCCGCATCGGGCTGCTCAGCCCCCTCTCAGCTGACGCCCTGATCACCATCGACCCCTCCTCCCCCAACTCCCCCTCCTCCCCCGCCTCGCCTCTGCTCAAAGCGAGCACCAGTGGGGGAGCGGGAGGGGGAGAGGAGGGGGGTTATGCGTCGCTGACAGCAGCGGAGTTTGAGTTGCTGTCGCCGACACAGCAGGCCGCTGCTGTTCAGCAGCTCGTCCTCTTCTGCAGGTAACTTGTGCCTTCTTCCCTCACGCGATCGCTCTCCCGCGCTTTGCCCCCTTCACTTGGACATTCACACACCTGATCAGACGCCGTCACTGCAGGCTGCTGCTGTTCAGCAACTCGTCCTCTTCTGCAGGTGACTCGTTTGAAGCGTGTGATCAGGCATCTGAGGAGAGGGGGAGCGGGAGGAGAGGGGGGTGAGGAACGGGGAGGAATATGCAGACAGCGGCGGAGTTTGAGCTGCTGTCGCCGTCACAGCAGGCTGCTGCTGTTCAGCAGCTCGTCCTCTTCTGCAGGTGACTGTCATGAAGATCAAGTATGTGTGCTTCGTTTTTTAGGATTCTCAAAACCGACCTCCAAATAGAGCTGTTTAGCAGCTCGCCCGCTTTTGTAGGTGACTCGTTTAAAGCATGCGATTGGGCACCTGGGGGAAGGGGGGGGGGAGAGGGGGGGCATGCTGAGTTTGAGCTGTTGTCGCCGTCACCGTCACAGCAGGCTGCTGCTCTTCAACAACTCGTCCTCTTCTGCAGGTAGCTTGGGTAACTTGTTTATAGCGTGCGATAGGGCACCTGGGGGAGGGGGAGCGGGAGGGGGAAGGGGAAGAGGAGGGGGGGTGCTGACAGTGGTGGAGTTTGAGTTGCTGTCGCCGTCACAGCAGGCTGCTGCTTTTCAACAACTCGTCCTCTTCTGCAGGTAACTCGTTGGGAGGGGAGGCGGGCGGGGGGGGGGGGATGGGGGAGAGGAGGGGGGTATGCATCGCTGACAGCGGCGGAGTTTGAGTTGCTGTCAGTGACGCAGCAGGCTGCTGTGTTCTAATAACCATACGAGTTGATGGAAGTAAGACCTCCGCAGCCCACCTGTCTGCGTCTGACGCAGCAGGCTGCTGCTGCTCAGCAACTCGTCCTCTTCTGCAGGTGACTTGTTACCTGCATGAGCATCGGGCAAAACGGTTGTGTTCAAGGTGTATTACTGGCAACAAAAAGCAAGTATTTGAGCTACAATAATGGAGGTCTGAGTGGTTCCTCTGGATGTGCACTTGCCCTCTCTCACACACTCACTCACTCTCCCGCTGTCCCTTCCTCCTTTGTTCCCACACTCACCTCACCCAACTACTTAATTACTCACTCACCCAACCATACACACATCCTAATCGCACTTAATCAGTCACGCACACACATTCGATCTTGATGCAGCGACCCTCGTTGGCTATCTCTTGAGTCGACTCGCTACCACCCTTTCTCGCTACAGCAGCAATCTACTAACCTAGCACAACTACAGCCGCCCCTTCCCACCCTTTCTCTCACTCGTGTTGCACCCTCCATTTTATGCCCTCATATTGCACCCTAATGTTCCCTCACACCTCTCTTGCCCTTTCCTTTCAGAGTGGAGCCCAGCCACAAGTCCATGCTTGTGGACTATCTCAAACGTCAAAATGAAGTGGTGAGCTACCAAAGTGCGCATGTTAAATAATAATAATAGTAATAATAATAATAATATGAACAATAATAATAAAATATGCATTGAGCTGTTAAGTCTCCTGTGAACCACGATGTGCAGCAGAGAGCCGTGCATACACAGGTTGTGATTGCATAAAAGCCAAAAAAGAAATAGGAACAAAAATGCATGCCCTGCTTCTCCACCCGCACTTGCTCTTTTCTTCTTTCCTTTCTCTTCTCCTCCTTAGCATTTTGATGGAACCAGTTATCAGCTTGTCTGTCTCATTCTTTACAGGTGGCGATGACAGGCGACGGGGTGAACGATGCCCCGGCACTCAAGAAAGCAGACATAGGGATCGCCATGGGGTCTGGCACTGCTGTGGCTAAGGTGAGATAGGATGAGATTCACGCACTTCTATGTTCATGTCAATCACGTATCAATTGCACACGTCCCTTGGGATCTTTCGTCTCCTCTTACATTGGCCTTCCTCTTGCTCTTTTTGCCTCCATGTTCTCCTGTTCCTCATTCCCCATGCACTCCCTCTTCTCTCAGCACCAGGGGGCGTCTGACATGGTGTTGGCAGACGACATATTTTCCCACTGCTCCTCTTTCTCCTCCTCTTCTTTTTCCCTTCTTCTCATCTTCTTTTTCCCTTCTTCTCGCTCATGCTGTGGCATTTTTTTCCCACTCCCCCTCCTGCACTGCAGGGTGCGTCTGACATGGTACTGGCAGATGACAACTTCTCCACCATTGTTGCAGTACGTCCTCCTCTATGCTCCCCCCCTTGATTGATATCATGGCCTCGTATGCCTCTACCCTGCTCAGTTCTTCCCCCCCCGGCGTTGCTGATTGGTACCGTAGCTGTCGTTATCAGTCACGTACAAGAAACGACTCAGCGCATGGTTTAATCACACATAAAGTGTAACATACCATTTACATGCCACCTGGTAAGGCCTGCTCGCACCTTAGCCTCCTAAGCTTTTGCAGCAAGTCAAGTAGCATTTATGAAACTGGATTGGACTCATAGGACATCCATCCTACCCTACCCCTGCCTTTGCTTCCTCCTTTACCAGGCGGTGGGCGAGGGCCGCGCCATCTACAACAACATGAAGGCGTTCATTCGCTACATGTTGGTGTCCTCCAACATCAGCGAGGCCGTTGCCATCTTCCTTGCTGCCCGTCCAGCCCACTCTCACCTACCCCCCCCTTCCCTCTCACCTCACTCCCTCGTGTTGCTCTCCAGGCGGTTGGAGAAGGCCGTGCCATATACAACAACATGAAGGCGTTCATTCGCTACATGGTCTCCTCCAACATCGGGGAGGTCGTCGCCATCTTCCTCGCCGCAGCAGTGGGCATGCCAGAGACGCTCATCCCCGTGCAGCTGCTGTGGGTCAATCTGGTCACTGATGGCTTACCTGCTACTGCGCTGGGATTCAACAAGCAGGACAGAGACGTGATGAGCATTAAGCCGCGAAAGGTGTGTATTCCATGTGCAACAACACACAGTGCTGCTGGTTCTATGACAGCACACAGAGCTGCAGCAGTGGGCATGCCAGAGACGCTCATTCCCGTGCAGCTGCTGTGGGTCAACCTCGTGACTGACGGGTTGCCTGCTACCGCCCTGGGTTTCAACAAGCAGGACCGAGACGTCATGAGCATCAAACCACGAAAGGTACGTGATATGTAATGTATGCATACTGCCGCAACACACAGTGCTGCTGGTTCTATGACAGCACACGTAGCTGCAGCAGTGGGCATGCCAGAGACTCTCATTCCCGTGCAGTTGCTGTGGGTCAACCTGGTCACTGATGGGCTACCTGCTACCGCCCTGGATTTCAACAAGCAGGACCGGGATGTGATGAGCATTCGACCCCGGAAGGTGCGTATTGATGTTGATGCACCATGTGATGGTTGGCATGCTCATGCAACAGCACACAGTGCGGAAGCAGTGGGTGAGCCTCTTGACGGATGGCTGCCTGCCAGTGCATCAACAAGCAGGACTGAGACGTGTTGAGCGTTCGACCCAGGAAGGCACGTGTGTGAATAAAGAACATGTGACAGTGACAGGTGTGACTGAAGTGGGCGTGACTGAAGCGGATGCTGCAGATCCATCCATCCATGTAACCTTGATTGGGTTTTTCGGGACAAGTTATTTGCAGTGTTTCAATTCAGTGCATGCACGCATGTGCGCTTGTGTGTTTGTGTGTTTGTGTGTTTGTGTCTGCACGTGAAACATGTGTGCGTGTGTGCTTGTGTTTGTGCGTGTGTGTGTGCACATACATGAGGGTAGATGGAGGATGCAATCGTGAATGGATGGCTCTTCTTCCGTTACCTAGTCATTGGAAGTAAGTGCCTCCCTTGCTCACTCATACATTCCTCTTGTTTCTTCTCGTTCTGGCTTTGTTGCGGTGGTACATTTGCTCACCGATCGTCCCATAATGTTCTGAATCGGCCCAAAAGCACACTCGCTTTTTCATCCCTCCCTCTCCCCATCACCCACATCCCTTTCCCCACCCCTTTCTCCCCCTCACTCCTCTCCCCCAGTCTACGTGGGGCTGGTGACAGTGGCCGCCTTCGTGTGGTGGTACATGTGCTTCGCCGATGGCCCCAAGATCACCTGGACCCAACTGGTGTGTCTCGCCTCTCTGCTCTCTTGTTTCATTCCCTGATCCAACTGAGGGGCGCCGCAGGCTACTCAGCTGGTTTGCAAGCCCCCGTGATCCATATTGTTTCCTCTGGCCTTCCTATGTTCCCCCTTCCGTGTTGACCCATGGCAATCCTTGGGACCTGCATGGATGCATCTGGTGGCAGCGATGTGTTTTTTCTCCCAGTTCTTCAGGTGCATGACATGCCGTTCGTTCTCACCTCCCCGCGTCCCTTGACGCACCCACTCAGGTCTCATTTGACACGTGTGTGTGGACACATCTGGTCGCCCCTTCGCTGTATTCCTAGACCCGCGTCCCTGCACGGTGGCCATGTCAGTGCTGCTGCTTCACATACCTTCCCTCCCCTCTCCCCTTCCACACACCCACGCAGGTCACCTTCGACACCTGTGTGGACGCGTCTGGTCGCCCCTGTGCAGTATTCCTAGACCCGCGTCCGCGCACGGTGGCCATGTCAGTGCTGGTGGTGGTCGAGATGTTCAACGCCCTCAACAACCTCTCAGAGAACCAGAGCCTCCTGTGAGTCCGTCAAGCGAGGAATGCAAGTGCCTACGCCTGCCCGTACCTCTGCTGGCGCCCCTACCTCTCGTCGTCCCCGCACGGTGGCCATGTCAGTGCATGTGACTGCTCTCTCTCGTCACTCTCACCATTCTCCTCCACTGCTGCTCGTGACTCACCATCCTCCCTTTTTTCCCTTTTCTCTCTTCTCCCTTGACTCCCTCCCCCCCCCCCAGCGTCCTGCCGCCCTGGTCCAGCCTCTAGCAGCCATCACCCTCTCAATGATCCTCCACCGCTGCTCCTTATGTGCTGTTCTCCTGTCCTCTTCTTCCCCTTCCAACTCCCCCCCCTGCAGCGTCGTGTCGCCCTGGTCCAACCTCTCGCTGCTCGCACCCATCACTCTCTCCATGCTTCCTCATTCTGCTAATCTTGCAACACTTCCCTTTCTTTGATACCACATTCCCACCCCCACTCTAACTCCCCCCCCTGCAGCGTCCTCCCGCCCTGGTCCAACCTCTGGCTGTTAGCAGCCATCACCCTCTCAATGATCCTCCACTTCCTCATCCTCTACGTCCCAGCCCTCGCTGTCCTCTTCTCCGTGAGTGTGCTTTCACGCCTCTTCCTCATCGTTACGTCGTCCTTGCAAGGGTAGGAAGAGGTTCGACCGCAGCAAGCCTACAGATCTCGCGCGCTCTTGAGTGCTTTCACGCCTTTTCCTCATCGTTACGTCGTCCTTGCCCTCATTGTTTTTCTTCTATGTAAGTTGTTCCCCGTTGCGTCAGGGCCCCTGCAAAATGATTCCCTTCCTTTCTCTTCTTCGTTGTTCCCATTGCTCACCATTCACCTTGCCCAGCTCATCCCCTCACACGTGCCTTGAGTACCCCTTTCCACCTCGTTATTCCATGGCAGGTCGGCCCTCTCTCCTGGCCTGAGTGGCACGCAGTGCTGGTCTTCTCCTTCCCGGTATGCCACCCTACCAATTCTAGCCACCCCCCGATTTCTCTCCGTTGTAGGCGTAATCCTTTGTGTCCCTTCCTCTGTGCGTTGCCCTGTTTCGTGCCCTTGCCCTCTCCTTGTGTTCAGTCCCCTACCCTGTCTAATACCCTGCACTACCACACGCTTGTACCTTAACCTGTACCACGCCCTGCCTTCCTCCCGTGCTCCGGCTCTTACCCTGTCCTCATGCCAGGTCATCATTGTGGACGATATTCTCAAGATCTTTTCAAACCCTGCCCCAGGCCATGCCCTCTCCACATGCCCTGCCCCGCCCTCCCTGCTCCATCCCCTACCCTGTCCTCATGCCAGGTTATCATTGTGGACGAAATTCTGAAGGTCTTCTCAAGAAACATGTCAGGTGTGGCATCAGGTGTCAGGTACCAGGTGTGGTATCAGGTGTGGTATCAGGCGGGAGGTCAGGCGCCAGGTGATATCACACCTTCTTTTCTGCTGTGTAGAGCAATCTTCAGGCATGAGCGTTCTGGTAGTACACCACTTTTGCATTCTCCAGTGAAAACTCTCACAACCAAAAACTTTCGCTGTTTATTGCGCTTTCAGCCCCACCCACCACTGCGTGCGTCGAGTAAATGCCCTGGGATTATATTCAGAAGGTGACTTCTCTTCCCTCCCTGCTGCATGTCCTGGAGGATACTCACACGCTGCCTTCTCTTCCCTGCCTGCTGTGCCCGCTGTATCCCTCTACTCCCCTTTTTTCCCTGCTCTATCCCTCTCCTTGAATCAGCTCATCCTGCCAAGGCCAAGTCATCGCGGCCGCAGTGGTCCCTGCTGCCGTTCAGGCGGCCAAAGGAAGAATCAGGGGAGAACCACACAGCCTGAGGCAGGCTTGTGCAGAACTGGGTACCATCTCTCCCCATGTGCGAGTTTCCAGACGTCTATCAAGACACTTTTTTGTTGTTTTTGTTATTGTTTTTACCAAACCTCCCAAGAATGTCTCAAGACTTGAATTTCTGAATGGGAACTCTTGCTAGCTTCATGACTTAAGCGAGAAGTGTTTGGCATCTAATGCCAGCCAGTGTGGTGCAATTGCTTTCTCTCTCATCATTAATGCATTATGGCTTTGCATGGTATTTATCCGGGTGCTTGAGAGAGCCGCATGATCAAAATAACATTTTCCACGAAAGTTTATGCAGCGGGGAAGATTCTTCCACAATGCCTCATCAAATGATGTGACAAATCAGGTACCAGATTATTACAGAGCAGCAAGGATCCGAGTTTCGAGAATGTTTGCTAGTAGTTGTTACATTCGCAATTGTCGCGGGGGGGCTCCTGATCTCACCCTAACTACAATCGATTGCGTCTGATCGGGGCGACATTCAAATGAGACACCCTGCGCAATGTGATGGAGGAACTCCATGGCAGTAGCGTGTTGCCCCCCCAGGTGGGTCGGCGAGGGCAGGGTTCCTTCCCTCGCGGCCCTGATCTCACGGGGAATGACGTACATATGTAGAGTGAGCAGCTCTCATGTGTATGTGTATGTGTATGTGCGTACGTAACCACACTGTGATGTGCCCAAAATATCTGGTTGTGATCAATTGACACGTAATCCAATGAACCCTCGCAGACCTGAACTCGAGGTTCGGAAGAAACGGCTGCTCACTCCCCTGATTTGTTACCAGCAGAAGCGCTCACCAATACAAAGGCAGTCCTGCCGCTCCGTTTGTGTCACAGAGCCGCAGCGTGTTAGCTCTCACTCGACCAGCTCTGGACAAAACACCATTTTTTCTCGCCATGGCCCCGGGCCGCTATGTCGTCACTTTCCTGCTCGTTCTCCTCGCTACTGCTACGTCTGCCATTGTGAACGCGGGAAGCGACAACTCGAATGCGGCGAGCGACAAGGCCGCTGCTGCTCAGAGGGAGAGGGCCGCTGCTGCTCAGAGGGAGAGGGCCGCTGCTGACAAGGCCGTTTCCGCTTGAAACGAAGACTACGTGTAACGATAATATCGTTTTGTATACTAGGTGAATTTGTGTGCTTGATGGTGGGTGTATATGTATCCTTCTTATCTGTTAACTTTTCGTATTTCCGCATCACAAATCGCTAGACATCATGTACTCTGCTTTCATAAACTCAATATCTCCTATGTACTCCTAGGTCTTTCAGAACCACTGATAAAAACAAACAAATTCCTAGTCCATAAGGTATCTTCAATCGATCATAAGCTAGCATAACGTGCAATCACAGCACTCTCAGATGAAGCAGCTGTCAAACATATGTATAGCTACCGTATGTTATATTTTGGGTAGGCTTAGTGGGGTACACACTGTAGGGTACAACCCCTTAGGCTGATTTCCTTTGTACCATCCATCTCGATAGTCGACACCCATTGATGCCTAGCTTCTAAGATGGTATCTAGAGCATAGGTCGTTAGGACCTAAGATTAGGGCCCACCGATTACTGCATTACTTCACCTACGGCCTTACCTGCCTTGCCTGCTGCCCGCGCGCGCCTCGGCTGCACGCGCGCGGCCCTTTTTTTTTCCGTGCGCGCCACTTAAGCAGCCCGCGCGCAGCCCGTTTTCGGCCCCGCGCGCCACGTTAGCCACCCGCGCAGCCTGCCGCCGGCCCAAGCGCCGTGTAAGCCGCCCGTGCGCAACCTACTTAGGCCCTGCGCGCCGCGTCCGTGTAGCCCGTTTTAGGCCCCACGCGCCGTGTAGCCCGTTTTAGGCCCCACACGCCGCGCCAGCCGCCCACGCAGCCTGCCGCCAGCCCGCGCGTCGCCACGAGCAGCCCGCAGCTGCGCGCGCTGCCCGTAGCCACGTGCAACCTGCAGCCTCGTGCAGCAACCCGCCACACGCAGCCCTCAGGCCGCTCCTGCCTACTACCTACCTGCTGCCTGCCTGCCTGCCTGCTTGCTGCCTGCTGCCGCCTGCCTGTAGCCTGCCTGCTGCCTGCCTGCCACCTGCCTACTGCTTGCTGCCTACTGCCGCCTGCCTGCTTGCTGTCTGCTGCCGCCTGCCTGCAGCCTGCCTGCTGCCTGCCTACTGCCTGCCGCCTGCCTGCCTGCCTGCAGCCTGCCTGCTGCCTGCCTACTGCTTGCTGCCTGCTGCCGCCTGCCTGCTTGCTGCCTGCTGCCGCCTGCCTGCCGCCTGCCTGCCTGCCTGCAGCCTGCCTGCTGCCTGCCTACTGCTTGCTGCCTACTGCCGCCTGCCTGCTTGCTGCCTGCTGCCGCCTGCCTGCCGCCTGCCTGCCTGCCTGCAGCCTGCCTGCTGCCTGCCTACTGCTTGCTGCCTGCTGCCGCCTGCCTGCTGCCGCCTGCCTGCTGCCTGCTGCCTGCCAGCTGCCTGCCTACTGCTTGCTGCCTGCTGCCGCCTGCCTGCTTGCTGCCTGCTGCCGCCTGCCTGCCAATATGGCGACGCCTAACGTTCTAGCGTTCGAGCCCGACGGTCGTCCCATCGAGTTCACTGTGTGGTTAGACGATCTCCAGCTGTTCCTTCTGACTGATGCCAAAGAGGGCGTTTCCCTGTTTGATTACGTCTCTGGCACTGCCGTTCCTCCTGCTGCTGATGCTCCTGCTCTAGAACGCTCCCAGTGGCAGACTCGTGATGCTGCTGCACGCCTAGCTATTAGGAACCACCTGCCGATTACTGAGCGAGCGCATTTCAGCCAGCACAGAACTGCTAAGACACTGTACGACGCGGTAGTTGCGCGCTACTCCTCCCCGGCCACTGCAGCCATAGGTCGACTCATGCTACCGTACCTGTTCCCCGATCTTTCCTCGTTCACCACTGCTGAGGACCTAGTTTCTCACCTGCGCGCTACTGACTCTCGCTTTCGTGCCGCCCTTTCAGCCGAGTTCTGCGCCGCAAACCCCCCCCCCGATGTACTTCACTCTCTATTTCCTCGTCACCCGCCTCCCTGACACTCTTAGCTCTGTCAGGGACCACTTCCTAGCGCTAGACCCCACCACTCTCACTGTCGACGACTTCGAGAAGCACCTCCTCGCAGCAGAGAAGAACATCCTCGCTGTAGGTGCTGCTCGTGGCACTCCTCGCTCTCCCCTCTTTGAGGGGTGCTCCCCCTCCCCTCTCACCCCCTCCTACGCCTCCGCAGCTGCTGCTCACGACTACCTTGGTGCTGAGGGGGTCGGAGCTGCTTCCGCTCCTAGTGGGAAGCGTCGCAGCGGCAGGGGCGGCAGGGGTGGCAGGGGCGGTGGGGGTGGCGGTGGAGGTGGCGGTGGTGCAGGCGGCGGGGGAGGTGGAGGTGGTGGGGGTGGTCGTGGGGGTGGAGGCGGTGGAGGTGGTGGTGGGGGCGGCGGAGGCACTGGGAGCGGTGGAGGGGGCAGCAGCGGCGGTGGGGGAGGAGGGGGCGGTAGTGGCATTGGTGGTCAGGGCCAGCAGCAGCCACAGCAGCAGCAGCAGCAGCAGCAGCAGCAGCAGCAGCAGCAGCAGCAGCAGCAGCAGCAGCAGCAGCAGCAGCAGCAGCAGCAGCAGCAGCAGCAGCATCAGCGTCAGCGTCAGCGCCAGACCCCCACTTCCCAGCAGCTTCTTGACTGGTATGCCGGGCGTGGGGCTTCTGGGGGTCCTGGTCGCTGCCCCTATATCATCCGCACAGGTCCCCGCGCTGGTCGCCAGTGCACAGGTTTTCACACTGAGCAGCGCTGCTTCGCTCGGCTTAGCGACGCCTGGCGCGCCAAGTTTCCTGATGCTACTGAATTCCCCAACTGGGCAGACTTGCTTAGGCGTGATGTACCTATCTTTGATCTTGACTATGAGACAATTCTTGCTGCTATGTATGCCTTGTCTGTTAGTGCTGAGGGTGACTGCTACTTGTGTGTGCCGCCGGATCCTGGTATAGCCCCTGCAGCACTAGGTGCTTGTGAGTCTGCTCCCCTTGGTACTGCGCCTGCACAGGCTTTGCACACATTTACACTTGACTCTGGTGCTTCCCGCTGTTTCTTTCGCGACAGTACCACAGTCACTCCCCTCCCTACACCTGTTTCTGTCTCACTGGCTGACCCCTCTGGGGGCCCAGTGCTTGCACGGTCTTCCACTGTGCTTCCGTGTCCGGCTGTCCCGTCTGGTGAGCTGTCTGGTCTCCACCTCCCCTCGTTCTCTACGAACTTGGTGAGTAACACTGTCCTCCAGGATGCGGGGATTGACACCTTCACCCCTGGCCGGCAGCGTGTGGCGATTTGCACGTGCTCCCAGACTGGTCGCCACCTGGCCATGTTCGCTCGTGCGCCAGGGTCCAGTCTCTACACCCTCACCACTGCGTCACGCTCCACCCCTTTGTCTCCCCAGTTGCACGCGTCTGCTCAGGTAGCTACACAGTGTGAGTGTCGCCGGCTGTCGCACGACACTCTCCTGTGGCACCACCGCCTTGGTCACCCCTCCCCGCCTCGCCTACGCAGCATGCACTCCCGCTTCCTGGTTTCTGGTCTTCCCAGGTCTCTGCCTCCCCTTCCTCCCTCGCCTGCGCCGCCCTGCATTCCCTGCGTCGAGGGGCGGCAGCGCGCCGCTCCTCACTCCTCCTCGTTCCCTCCCACAGAGGCTCCACTGCAGACTCTCCACCTGGACGTGTGGGGCCCAGCCCGCGTCCGTGGACAGGGCCATGAGCGGTACTTCCTGCTGGTTGTCGACGACTACACGCGCTACACCACGGTCTTCCCCTTGCAACGCAAGGCGGATGTCCCTGATGTTTTGATCCCCTGGATCCGCGCTACTCGTCTCCAGCTCCGCGAGCGGTTCCAGTCGGATTTTCCTGTCCTGCGTCTGCACTCTGACAGAGGTGGTGAGTTCTCCTCAGACCTCTTGGCAGCCTTCTGTGCGGAGCACGGCATCCGCCAGACTTTCACGCTTCCGGCCTCTCCGCAGCAGAAT